TCTAAACCCAGAAAACTCCAAACTCCAAACCCAAGACTCGAAACCCTAAACCTTAATTTTGACCAACTCCGCAGGTGAAATAAAGCTCCTGGAGAAGAGCCAAGGCTTCGGCAGTGAGCTTCACCTGGACGCACACTGTAGTAATGATAATATACTATAGTATAATAGGTTGTATAATGGAAGCTACTATATAGTATAATGGGGTTAGTTAGGATTTTAGGTAAAAGATAAAAGGGTCTTATAATAGGGTATTACCATTGGGGTAATATTGGGGTTATATTGGGGTTATATTGGATACTATACTGTAGTATAATAGGGTTGGGGGTTATTTACATTAGGGTTATAGTATACTGGTTTATATTGGGGTTTTCTAGGGGATGATGAAAAAGAAAATGGAAACTACTAGAGTATATTGGGGCTATGTATGGTATACTACAGGGGATAATGGAAAAGAAAATGAAAACTGATATAGTACTATTTGGGTTATATAGCGTATAATACAGGGGATAATGGAAAAGAACATGAAACGACTAAAGTATCATGGGGTATATATCGGGGTTATATAGTGATAGTGGAAAAGAAAATGGAAGCTACTGTATAGCATAATAGGTTTCGGATTTTAGGATTTAGGTCTTAGGACTTAGGGTTTAGGATTTTGGGCTCAAGGTTGTGAGTTTAGAGTTTGAGGTTTAGGGTTTAATCCTTGTGAGCATTTCACAAGATGAACACAATCTTATTTGATTTAACCAACCACAAGATAGAAACTTCTACCGCCCTCATACCTCCCTTCAAAGCCCTAGGATCTGTAAGGCTGCGAGCCTATCTTTTAGATGCCCACGCATGAAGTAGGGGTTTTGTGATGCTTTTTTGGGAGGAATTACACGTGCGTGTGAATGTTCAGTCGCGGAGGCCTTAAACTTTAAACAGGAGCCATTAATTTTCTGTTCACGTTTTGGAGCAACTGGACAGTTCATGAGCACCCGCAAGCCATTCCTGTCACCTCCTGGCTCCAAGCCCTGACCATACCATTATGGGGGTCCTAATAATAAGGATTGTAGTATTTGGGGCCCTATATTGGGCTAGACCAATTTTGTGAAACTACCACTGTGGGTGAGTTCAAGGCGCCTTTTGTTGTTGACAGTGAATTCATAGGGGTCGCTGCATGCAAGTCGTTCCTTGTCCAGAACACTACTTAAAATGTGTGCCACTCGAGAAGCTCAGTTTGATGATTTGTTTCCTTACGGAGAGGAATGTGTCAAATGGATTCGTAATTTTCCAAGGGAGCCTGCTTTCCCAAACCCTAAGGCGTGCAAAGAACGTATTGCCCTACTAATCCCACGTGCTCCGCACCTTCTACGCCTATGGGCTGTTTTGGGTCGTTGCCTGTCACGCAGGGTTACCAAGAGACCTCAGTACCCAAACCTGACTATAGCGGACCACACCTCAGGAAAAATCAGAAGTCCATTGAAACCATCATCGCCCGTCTAATGTCCATGGCTTTGGCAATAATTATGATCTATAGTCTAAACTCCTAGTATCCCCCTTAATATCCCCAATAGTAGTCCCCTATATGATCCCCTATATAACCCCCTTCTAAGGAGTTTAGACTATAGCTCATATCAAGGTGACAAGGTGCCTCCTCCGCCGGCATTGGGCTCTCTGGACCTTGCATCGCAAGTCATCTTGGGTCTTTGAGGTTGTGCAGAGCTTTCCGGGACATTGTTGGTTTAGAAATTTATGGCTTGAGAATTCGGTGTGGGGCGGAATGTGCCGGACCAAGCCCAGGGGTCCTAAGCTCCCCAACACAGCAGAATGCCACATTCAAAGAATCCAGGACGCCCTCTCTTCAAATTACATATCTTTCCAGCAACTCCAGTCTGCGTAAGATATCGAGCCAATTGGAATCAAACTCCTGACAAGACATGTTCTGGGCAAGCTGAAGCGAAGCAACAGTTCATGAATGTGTGCCAACATCACTTCAACAGGGCCGCTTCCACATCAAACCCAAGTCACCAGACCCGCCGTTCTAATAAGAAGCCAAACACGGACCATAATGTCACGAATGACGCATCACAAAAGGCAACCCTACGCCCTAAACTTGCTGGTTCTTTGTTCTTAGTATGGAATAAAGGAATATAATCCCTATATAATCCCCGTATGATATATTACCATATTCCCGACTGTAACCCCGATATATATATATATATAGAAAGAGAGAGAGACACCTTATTATAATGTCGTAGCCTCCATGTTCTTTTCCATTGTCCCTATATAAGCCAATAGATTCCCTTGTTCCCTACTACAGTACGAACCAGTAAGTAAACTGAACCCTGAACCCTAGTCTCTGCAGTGGTCCCTGCCTCCTATCGAAGCTTCTTCATCTTCCCATGCAGCATCCCATGCCCAGCGATGTTGGCAGTAGCATTAGTAATACCAATAGTAACAATGATCATAGTAGTAATCGTAAGAAATGATAGCTATAGTAATAGAATTCGTGGTGATGGTAATTGGTAGTAATAATTGATATGACAAGGCTCACTGGTGACCTCACATTGTGTAGGTGCTACCCTCTCTGGCTTTGCTGTTCCGTACAATGGCCGTGCAAGGTTCAAGAGTTTGCGTTGGCATGGATACGTGGCATAGCACGCTACTTGAATCTACTTGATTGAGCTCTCCCCCTTTCGGGGCAAGCTGGGCAAGTCGTGAGAAGTCTGCATATGGGTGCGCCCCACATGATTACCGGCCGGCCCCGCGACACCCCGAAGTTGACCTATGCGCAAGCGCCAACACAACAACCACCTATGGAATTGCGAGCCTGCGTCCCGATCGCAGCGCGCTTCCAATGAGTAGACCCGGCGTTGCACAAATAATGGCTTGATCTTAGTGGCAACTATTCGGCTAGATCTATCGGTGGGGCCATTGATGGGGGCATCCCCTTGTCCCTGCAGGAACTCACCGCCCCCAATTAGTTAAACCGCTAAGGATCAACAGTTGCTCGGGAAGACCTATTTTTAAGGAATTGCCAGCGAAATCAGCGTCACATTACCCGATGGGACTTCTAAGTACTCGGGCCTTCAGGAATGGTTTCCGCGTTTTTGGAGGTGTGGGTACGAATTTCAATCAGTTGGCGGCTTATTGGCCTTGAAGCCTGAACCCTAAACTCTCACAACACACTGCATGCAAGAGCTTGGCATGGACTGACCTCCAGGAGAGACTTCAGAGCCTGGTAGCTGATGTCAGAGTCGATGTCATCCAGCTGCCTTTCTGAACTTGGGCTCGGAAATCAACGTCAAAGAGATTCAGGCTAGCACCCCATGCTGTCACGTCTTCTTGACATGCAAATTATGCCTTGGGCAGATAAGGCTTAAGATCAAATTGCTTGCCATGATCGTAGCTGCGATGCTAAATTCTGTTGAAGCTACCTAGCACAACTTTGAACCTGGCTCGTGCTTCATTTCAAGAAAAGGTTACATCTAGACTCTAGACACTGCTGGTCATGCCATGTGAAAACAAGTCGGTCGGACGAGTCCAGCGACCACATCACCACGTGATACCTCACATGGGCAATGCCCGGCAGGCAAGCGGATGGAATTGGTAATGACTCTGCTTTGGATTAATAATAGGAAACCTCAACCTCATGTTCAATCCTGACAGCTTCCAGCACCCACAGGGACGCAACAACTTGTTTTGCAAAATTTCATTCCAAGGGGGCTGAAGAACTACCACGGCACCCCATCGGCTGCAACAACCCAATTGGCAATCCCGATAATAATCCTTGTAAACCCGGTATAGCAGTGAAGCAACATGTACAGCCTTACAGACACTATACGGCAGTCTCCATAAATAGGGGGACCCCAAAATACCCAAATCCTCCCAAAAAAGCAGCCCCAACTTTGAGAAATCCCCGAAAATTCATCTAAACTCAGAGTATCCTCCTTAATGACCCCTATCTATTGAATCCCCTTTAAGGCGCTTAGACGGTAGTACCGATACTGTAGTACAACCATGTCTGCTCGAAGCAGCACTTGGGTGTTTCCCAAAATTAGGGGTACCATTTTGGGGGTCCCTATAATAAGGATTATAGTATATCAGGGTCTATATTGGGGTCCCTTTATTCTGGGAAACTACCATATGGTAGTTTCCCCAAATAGGGGGATCCCCAATGTAGACGGCCCCAATATATTATCATGTTGGGAAACTACCACTTGGCTCCCAGCCGATGCATCCCTCGCTTGGGGCAGGGTGCCTCCATGCCTCGAGCGCCGAGGCCTTGGTGATTGGTTAGGGGGCTTAGTGGTTTAGGGTTTAGGGGTTTAGGGTTTAGGGGTTTAGGGTTTAGGGTTTAGGGCTTAGGCTTCAGGGTTTAGGGTTTAGGGGTTTAGGGTTTAGGGCTAAGGGTTTAGGGGTAATAGCGACTACAAGGGATAAGAAGGACTATACTAGGGTCCTCTTATATTCCTATTATACCACGAATTACAGGGTGGGGGGTCCACTTAAGTGATTGGCGTATAACAACAAGAGCAACCTGGGGGCCCTGGAAACAATGATGAACTTTCATGGAGGGAATATGTAGGGATTGTCAAATCTAACCTGGGAGCCCTATAAGGATGATTAACTTGTGTAACTGTGGAGGGAATATACAGGGATAAAGTTTCGTCCAGAATATTTAAAAGCAGCTGACAGGAATACATAACAAAGCAGGAACCATACAAAACATGGGAGACGAGACGACAAGAGTAGGGTCCAGGTTATGAACACTTTTGTTTTGCATGTTTGGGGTGTGCACTGTGGTTGCGGGGCTTTAGGTGTGACCTTCAGGGTCTAAACGAGTAGAGTAGGGTGCTTGGGCGGCTTGCATGGCATTCAAATGTCTACGCAATGTTGGGCAGAACAAACATGATGTCGACCGCGCACACATGCACACGGACAGACTGTATACAGAGAAGATTGCAATGTGTTGTGTTACAACAGTGTGATCGTAGGGTTTTCTGGTTTTGAGTTGTGTAATGTGAAGTGGCCTGGGCAGTCAGGGCAGGCCGGGCCCAACTGCCTACGTGCGCGTGACCAGCCATAACCAAGAGCATCGTGCATTCAAAGCAGCCCTTTCAGAACTTCATTATGAGGTTGAGAGGGAGCTCTAGCATCTAAGCCCATGTCGCAGCTTGAAAGTTGTCTTACTCGAGTTGCGTGCTACATATGCTCCCCCTTTTTCAACTCTTGGCTCCATTTAGCTGCACGTACACTGCTTCTTTGACCTCCTGTCCAACACACGGCCAGCGGCAAATCCACTTTCAAAGATTCATGATTCGTGTGGCTCGAGGCCTGCGTGATTTATGCAGCCCCGCCCAGGCTTGCACGCTGTAAAAGCTAAGTTCCCTCAGCCACATGGCACGAAGTTCTATGCCTTGAGCATCGCAAGCATTGCCAGACTTGAGCTGCAATGATCGTGCACTGAGCATTAGGCATTGCCACCTTGAAGCAAAGACGCACCACAAATGGGAAAGAGGGCCCTCCCTCCTGTGCCATCCACGTTGGAGTGTATGGCAACAAACTGGGCCCGAGACTGTTTCTTCCCACCAACATTGTGGGCGCAAACTGGGCGCAAGACTGATTGAAATGCATGCGTGAGTCTCATGTGACAGAGTAGCTGATGCAGAGGCAGCAAGAAGTCGAAGTACGTCAAACAGTCAAACACTAAGGACGTGTATCCCTGCACGTCAGCGAAGGCACAGTAGGCATGTTGGGGCTAGTAGAGAGACGTCAACAGTCGACAGCTCAGCAGCCTCAAGAAGTGTAGACAAACGGCCCCTACATGGTAGCTGCCCTTGTTTCCTTTGTGACCCTAATGCGAAACAGCGCAATTGCCTCTGACTTGTCCCATCCCTGCCTCTGCCAGCTGTGTCACTGCAGTCTGGTTGATAGCCATCCAGTCCCCGGGGATGTTGGCCACCCTGGGCAATGAGAGCGCGCAGCAAGCTCCCAGCTGCCATTTGATTTGCTACCAGCAACAGCTTGCAAATCTGGCGTTGAAGAACTAGTGCGAGCACGAAAAGACCGGGCTTGTGTGCATTCCAAAATTTGGCAAGTACAGGTAATCATGCTCGACGAAAAACTCCGTCGATTGACAACCACCAATTTGACCAGCTACACCTAGTCTTCCATGTGTCTTGGACGACTGATTGAACGCAAGCAACGAAGGCGTAAGAATCGTGCCAGAAGATGTTGTGGACATGATTCTCCTCAGAGCCCATGCCGTTGGGATAGTCCAGATCCTTTCCGATTCCGCAAAAGAAGAAAGCAACAGGCTACAAACCTATAGCCCAGAGTCCACACCCAATCCTTGACAAGCATAGCGTTGTTGCCTTGCTTGCCTATTCCAAATCATTCCTGTTCATGTATAACCACTAGGCTTTAACCGCCACTCGTTTTTTTCCGTGGTTGGCAACTATTCCGGCTTCGACAGTTCGCCTCAAAACTCACCGTTTTTGCGCTACATATTATAGTGGATGCCGTTTACTTTTCCATTATCCGTATATAATCCCAGGATATACTATAAACCCAAGACTCGAGTTATGATAGGGTGTCCCCTCCTCGATCGTCAAGGCGAAGGATTGGCAAGAGCGGCACTCCTTTCCATCCTCTGCAGATAATGAATAAATAGTGTATGATGGATTGTATACGGTAACCTAAACCCTAAACCCTAAAAAGGGGAATGGTAAGCAAAATTGAAAGTACTACATCAACGGAGCCTTCTATCATCGGCTTAAAGCTGGGACTTGGGGCTGGGACGAGGTGAGCGTTTAGGGAAGATGGTGGCTTTAGGTTGTAGGATTTGGTAGTTTCCATAAAAAGGGGGGGCCCAATATAGACCCCAAAATGCTATAATTCCTATTCTAGACACCCCCAAAAAGGAACCCCGAATTCTGGAAACCCCCATTTAGCGCTTAGCATATAGGGACCTGCCATCCTCGGGCTGTTGCTGTGCTAGGGGCGTAGTTGGGAATGGAGGAGAGGATCCGCCCAGTAATCTCCGTCTCAAGGCTTTGTGCAAAGAGTATGGGATTTAGATTAGGTGGACCCCCCACCCTGTACTAGTGACTATAAGGCATAATAGGGATTATATTAGGGTCCTATTCTATTCCTATTATACCACTATTACAGGGTGGGGGATCCTCCTAAGATTTAGCATACAAGGCTTCAAGCTTAGTGCCTATAGGATCTGGAGACTAGAGTTTTGGACTTGAGATTCAGCGCTATGGGCTTAGAGTTTACGGCTTGGGATGCAAAGAGCGAGTTTAGGGCAAGGATTGGACCTGGTTTCAGGGTTGACACTGATCAGTTCCTGCTTGTCTAGTTGGGAAATACGTTCCAGGTGTTAAGATCTGCTCGCGCTGTACCTACAATATAATAACAGTGAAAACGCTACAGATGCAGGGGCTTGCGCAGGACGCGGCATCCCGTAAACCTCAAGCAAAGCTCATGTATGCAATCTTTGAGCCCCATGGTTTTTGTTTTACATGAGGTGGACGGCATGAGGAGCCCCCCCCCCCCTCCCCTCCCGAAAAAAATATATATATGTCAAATGCCCGACCTGATGCGGCCACCATATCCTGACAGAAATCATCCGAATAGCTTTTGAACAGAATGTCACCATGGGCTTCACAACCCAGAAAAAGGCCTCTGAATCGCTTGCAAAATTGTTCTAAATATCAATATCTGTGAAGCAAAGAGCTTGGTTACTTACTACTTCCATGAAGACCACAGTGTTCCTGCTGCAATCCCAGGATGCGGGGTGAGACGCTCCAACGGAGCACATGAAGAAATACTGGAGGGGTTGGGGCACAATGGTGCAGCTGTTCCCTGCGAATGGCGTGCTATAGAAAGACATGTAAGCAAGAATTTCCTTTGCTCAGGATGTCTGGTTGGCAGATGAGTGTATATTTCTTGAACTTGCGCAAACAGCCCTGGGTGTCTCTACCGTGTACCCCTGTCCAGCTTTCTGATGTAGACGGTGGAGTTGTAGCGTGTAGAAGTACACCATATATCAAAGGTGTGGTGCGTGTTTGTTCAGGGGTCGGTGGCTGAAAGCACTGCCCATCGGAAGTCTTCGCCACTCAGCTTGCGATGCCGAACTTCTTCTGCATCTGACCGAGGCAAGGGAGATGGCAGGTGGATTGTGCCAAAATGGTGTTCTGCAAAAACAGAAACAATGGGCTGAGCAACGTTAGAACCTGGGAAAGGGACCGGACAGTCGGGTCTGCTTCGATGTCTCCACTCTGAAGGTTTTTGGGCCCCAACTCAGGGATGCATGCTTTGGAAAAAAGGAGCTTAGTACGACTATCACCTGCATAAATCCAGAATAAGTAAAGTTAGTTTGTGTCTTGTCTAGATCTTAATTTGCAACCCCCTTCAGTGATCCTCTGTTTTTGGCCTGTTGAATACACAATTACCAAGATTTCACTGTCACTGTGAAGATCTGTGAAGGGCAAACAAGAACAGCAGGACTGGTGGGAGCCATGGCTGGGGCAATACTTGCAGCAGAGGCATTAAAACATTCCAATAATGCCAAATCGTTTATTCAGAGGCTCAAAAGCTTGAGGAGCACTTTTGTAGGGGAAGACTACTTTAAAAGGCACATCCATCACATGCACACTTCACAATTGAATAAGGGGCCCTCATGGATAGAAGAATGAAGCGTGAAGATTCTTAGACTAAGCTTTCCTGAGCATCATCAACCTTCAACCGTTTATCCATCCCTCCCATTATTCAATTGAATAAGGGGCCCCCCTGGATAGAAGATTGAAGGTTCCTAGAAGGATTGCATCACGAATCTCCTATCTGCATTATCATTCGATTGAATAGAAAGCTTTTTCAGTTGAATAAGGGACGCTCGTTATGGAATTCTGACAATCATGTCTTGAGTTTTGGGGACACCTGCCCGTGCATGCCCTTCTCAAGTCCCAAGAGGCTTGATTCCCTTCCCAAAGTGCCAAAGGCCTTCACCACCCCAAAGCGGGGCAGGGTGTACAGTGTCTTTTTGCACTTTGTTGAACCGTTTCATCCCAAAGTCGTCCCCACTGGTTGCTTTGGTTTGGGTTTTGGCTGATGCTTTGGGGCGGTTGCTTTGGAGTATTTGGTGAAGATGAAAGTTTATGTGGGTCTGGGATTGAACTGGGAGAGGACTCTGGCCAGCTGCTTCTAGCCACTCATGCTTTACCTATAAGGCAGAAACTTGACAGGGGTACTCGCCAATTGTTCGGGGAGGAGGTCACTACATTCAAGTTGATCGCCAAGAGATTCTCATTCAGAATGTCCACCTTAAACAGGATCCCCCACCCCCTGGCCCCTAAGTTCACCCCTTCTCCGCCACATGCAACGGGCACAAGCCTTGCCAGGAAGCTTCCGCCGAACAATGAGACCTGCCATGCATTTTTCAAAATTGTCTGCTTTGTAGGAGGACAGTCCCATAAGTTAAGTTGACATCTGGGTGGATTGGAATGCCAAAGCTGTTTGGACGCAGCTGGGGGACTGTGGCCTTCTGCTTTCCAACATGAAGTGTCTGCAGGTCCGGAGCCAGATTGCTTATGAAGCTTCATCTAATCGCAGGTGCCTCAGCCTGAAGAACTAGAACACACATCCCTTGCTCCCTGGCACCATAATATGCATGACGCAAAACCCCTGTCCTTTCCTTCTACTCTGCTGGCTTGGCATTAGAGTCAACACCCCGCAAGCTTCAAGTGGCTGAGGAATGCCTAGGCATCAGTCTATGATGAAGCCTCAGGTTGTGCTCGACCTGAAGCCTGATCTAGAAAGTCGCACTAAGGAACCTGGATGGTTGGCTTTTCAACATACGATAGACAAGCTAGGTGCACTGAGGGTCAGTGGCCTGTCACCTGGAATCGGGTTAGCGCTGCTCCGGATTGCGAGAGTTGGATTTCCAACTGGGTAGGCTTGCGCGAACTCTACGTTCCCTGCAAAGAGGGCGAATGAATCCCGCGGGAAACGACGCCTAAGGCACCAATATGCCTGTAAAATGTGAAATCATCCGGCGCAGAATCCTACAGTGGGAACTGCGCAATCTTTCTCGCTAACCGACCGCTCAAATCCGAGGTCCAGGCCTAAGGGCTTCAGTGGCGAGCGTGTCTTGTAGCCGGTCCGCAGAATACCCCAAGGGGACACTGGCGGCCTGTCACTAGGGCTGAGGGTTGTTGACTGAAGTTCAGGAGCGAGCCTTACTCAAAGCGCCACGGCATCTACGGCCCATGGTTTGCATTTAGCATGTCTATGCTGGGTACCCAGAGGTTGGAGGGGTGAGGGACATCCCGCTTGTCAGCTAGATCCCCTACAGAAACCGGCAGCTTGCACCTCACCTCTGGACCAATCAATTCAGTGGTCAGATGGCGGCGCGCAAGCTCAATGTTGCGGAGCGCTTCTGCAGTCTTGAAACCCGAATACGTTCTGACAAGATGTCTCCATAGGTCATATTCCTTGTAAAGCGATGTAGGCGTGACAGGTTCCACCGCCAGATTTCAGTAGAAAAGCCTTTACTGACTCATAGCGGATGAACTCAAACGCTTCTGATGATTTCCACGAGAGCGGAACTTCTTCTGGTAGTCTGCATGGGTTTCCCCCAAAAGCCCAATTACGAACTGACACTGCAGGCTATCAGCCTCCCTGCTAAGAACTATACATAGACGATCTCGGGAACTCTCACATGGCCTTTTGGTGTGCTTGGCGCTCGTGCCACCGCCATGAGGGTGCTTATGCCTGAGAGAGAGGCGATTTCCCATTGCAAGCCCTGCAGGAGACGGATGCTCCTCAAATCATGTGTCTCCTCTATACACACAGGGAGAACCCGTGAAGAACTAACACTTTCGAAGACTGCACTTGGAAATGCCTTTGGGGTTATAGACGCACTGAACCTGACACTTTATACCCAAGCCTAAGCCGTGTGAGCCCAGCCCAGGCACTGGACACCTTCAAGTGGTACTCCCAACAAGCGCAGGTCCCAAAGCAGGGGCCCACCCAGTCACCTCCAAATAATGGGATCCCTATTACAAACACCCTCTGCAAGAAACGCACAGTTTTGATTAACCTCATTTAAAGCTTACAATAACTTTATATGCTCTAAAAATGAGTCCATACAAGGCCCCTCATGAAAAAGGAACCGGCAAGGAACCCTAAGCCTAACACTCAACATTTCCTAGATAACCCCAAGAAACCGGAGGAAGGAGCCTGCCATGCTAAGACACCATAAACCCTAATCTCGGAACATCAGCGGATTAAAGACACGACTCATCCCGAAGACCTAACCCGTACTCCATGCTGCGTACAATCTAGGCCGGCACATTGCAAAATGCTAGCGCCATCTACTTAAATGCGCTTATTAATTATATAGACTATAGGATATTACCTGCGTGTGGCTTGGGGTTTCCCTACCTACCGCTTATCCCCGTTTCCATTTCGCTGTCCACTCTCTTTTGGTTTGGATGATGCACCCAGGCTGGAGTCGCTGTTCTGGAACTTGAGCTCAATTAGCACAATATAGTCCACTTTCTATATTATGATACTTCGATTCTACACCAGTCAAGGCAAGAGCCCATGGACCACAGGAGCTATAGTCTACACTCCTAGTATCCTTCCTTAGTAACCCCTATAATACTCCCCGATATAATCCCCTTATATAACCTCCTTTAAGGAGTTCAGACCCTCTTATAACCCCTGTTATGGAGTTTAGAACCTAAACCCTAAGCCCTATACAATCCCCTAGATTAGCCCTCCTTAAAAAAGTTTAGACTACAGCTCCCCTGGGTTGCCGGGCGGATCCATGGCGTTGCCGCGCACCGAAGGTCGCCAGCCAAGCCAGCGGTTCACGCCTGCCTTGCCTGACCGATGGCTGTAACCATACTATACTTACGGGGGGGTTAGTAGGGGATAGGGAATAGAATATAAAGTTTAGGGCTCACTTAGGGAGATTAGGGTTTAGGGCTTTAATGTTTTCAGGACTCTGGGGGGTTTTGGGTGTAGGGATTTGGGTTTAAGGTCATATAAGGATAGGGATGGGCTACAGGATCCTGACCGTAAGCCCCAAACCCTAAACCTAGGGTTTGGGGCTTGGGATTCAGGCTTTGAGGATCCTCAGTTTTAGATGTTCTGAGTGTGAGCAGCAGAGAAAATTGCCATCACGCTAGTTACAAGGGATAATATGAGCTACAGTCTAAACTCCTTGTATCCCCCTCAATAACCCCTATAGTAGTCCCTTAAAGACTCCCGTGTAGAACCCGCCTTTCAGGAGTTTTCACCATAGCTCATATAATCATTATGATAAGGGATCCGCCCATGGGGGAACAGGCTGCTTCATGCGGCTGTTTGCCGTGAACCTTTGTCAGACTTTCAGGAAATTCAACCTTCGGGGTTCACAATGCGTCAGATCAAGGGTGTGTTTGTAGGCCGGGTTGAAACAACCCTACTCGAATCATCTATCCACGAGCATCTCTCTTTATCTTTTTTTACAGCGTTCCGATAGAAGTAGCCAACTAAAGTACAGAGCGGTACTAATACGTTATGCGGAGCAGTTCGTAAGAGCTGGCTACGGCGATTCAAGCCAATAAGCCTTATTGCTGTTGCTTCCGTATAATCTTACAGGGCATGGAGCAACATGACAAACTCCGGGCCAGCACTCTAAACCCTAAACCCATTAGATTCCTTTATGTTTGTTTCTGTCTGCATCCCGAGTTGGGGGTTGACGTTCACTTCCCATGCGTCCGTAAAGCTGGCAGTGAGGAACCACATCTCTGCACAAGGCCCATGAGGTCGGGTAGTGATTAAGAAAAATGGGTTTGGAATAGAACGAACTTTTGGCTGAAGGGAAAGATAGTGGGTACGGAAGTTAATTGACAGGGCCCGAGACAGCCCAAGTCTGATTGGGGGACCCCGGACTATTTACAATCCTCTACGTGTGGGGCTGTACGGAACCCCTACCTTTTCTTCATACCGAATTGGGGTAATCGTGTTTTCTTCTTCTGCCTCTTCTCAGTTTATGGGGTTCTGGTTGGTCAAAGTGCATACTAATTCTTATCGTATTCTGTAAACTACACTAGCAGGATGTCTGCGAGCATTCGGGCAGGGCATTCTTCTGACTGGCTAAAACAAACTACGACGAGGAAGCAGTCTTCAGGCCAAAGACAACCCTTTCTGCACAGGCATGTGGATTTCAGGGCTTAAAAGCGTGGTAGGCTTCTGGCGCAGGAGCTGTCTTGAAGCAAAGGTGCAAAGGTGCTTTGTACTCTGGTAGCAAGTACTAGTAGCCTGCTCACCCTGAAGCCAAGCCACTATGCCCTAGCTAGCTACAAGATGCACGAAAGCCGCAGCCTCCTGCAAAAGGTCAAGGGCCTTCAAACTCGAAAGTGAGACGGACCTTACAGAGTGCCACAGAGTCATCGCTACCTATGATGATTGAAGACACCCACGGAGCAAACAGTTGCAAAAAACAAACATATGGAGCTCCGAAGGTCATCCTACCTGAGCGATGCCCGTGTCTCCTAAGGTGCTTCCAAAGCCAATGCCTTTGGGCCCGTAGAGCTTGTTGTAGTCTGCTTCACAGTAGGGCTGCCCATCATGATCTTTGTATTGGCCTCCTCGAAGGCTCTTCCCACATGCCTTGCAGCAGAAGCCTGAACTGCTCCGAGAAACACGGGAACAAGACGTATAGGTGCTTCTGAGTTTCTTGGGATCAACCAATACTACGAAAATCTCCCAAAAGCTCTGGAAACAGAGAATGTGCCAAGTCTTCCCCAGACCTTTGATCTGCTCCGCGGCATAAACGCTTTTGCTGCATGCCGGGCATTTTGGAGCTCCGGGCTGGAACACACACTTCGCAGAAGCTGCAAGAGATTTTCTGGCAGTTGTGTCTTCAACCTCGCCCGGTTGCGTGGCAACTTCAACTCCTGCTTGCTTGTCTTGGCCCTCAAAAGCAGCCAGTTTCTCTCTGAGGCTGCTGGTGTATCCTGCTTCTGGCGGGGAAGCTGGGGAACCGTCCACTGCTTCAGCAATACCAGTGTCTCCCAGTGTAGCCCCAAACCCAATACCTTTCGGCCCAAATAGTTTGTTGTAATCTGCTTCGCAATATGGCTGCCCCTCGTGGTCTTTGTATTGTCCACCGCGGAGGCTCTTGCCACAGGCCTTACAACAGAAGCATAATGCATGCCAGGACTTGCCAAGGCCTTTGACCTCTTCTGCTGCGTAGACACTCTTGCCACAGGAAGGGCATTTTGGGGCAGTGGATGGGACAAATGCCTTGGAGGCTCGCTTTGGCAATGACTCGGACGGGACAGCTTCAACCTTTCCTTCGAACGCTGCCATCTTATCACTCAATGCGCCAGCGTAGCCTGTGGCACTGGATGCTTCAGCGGCAACAGCAGCAGTAATCCCTGTGTCGCCCAGGGTTGCTCCAAACCCAATGCCTTTGGGGCCGAACAGCTTGTTGTAGTCTGCTTCGCAGTAAGGTTGGCCTTCATGATCCTTGTAGTGTCCGCCACGTAGGCTCTTGCCACATGCCTTGCAGCAAAAGCATAGAACATGCCAGGACTGCCCAAGGCCTTTGACCTCTTCTGCAGCATAAACACTCTTGCCACAGGAGGGGCATTTTGGAGCGGATGACTGAAAGCGTGCGCTGGCAGCTGCTGGCGCGACAGAAGCCACGGGCGCGGTCTTCTTTTCGAAAACGGCCCGACGGTCTCGAATCGACACACTCTCTGCCACGTCTGCTTCCGTGTTGGCTGGCTTCTCCTCTGCAATTCCTGTGTCTCCCAGTGTGCTTCCGAAGCCGATGCCTTTCGGACCAAAGAGCTTGTTGTAGTCCGCCTCGCAGTATGGGCTGCCACCATGGTCCTCGCAGGGCAATCGCTATTGGATGACTGCAAATGTGGCTGGGAAAACGGAAGCTGTCAAGGGGCAAGAAATTCTGAGGCTCACAAGCCCTGGATTTTGAAGCAGGGAGCCAGCCCAATGCACTATCCCTTTCTTTCCAAGGGATGGAAACCGCCTGTATAGCCCTCATATACTCCCATGCTTAAATTCACGTGCCCTTTGCTTTCTTGTTGATTCTTTTTCCGGAATCAGGTGCAGAGCCAGTGTCTCCTTGTAGTTTCCTGCTCGCAGTGACTTGCCGCAAGCTTTGCAGCAGAAGCACAAGGGATGCCAGGAATGGTCAAGAGCCTTGACCTGCCAAAGTGTTCTGGAAGTCCGCTGAAAGCATCTCATGAGTTATGTATATCTATGTATCCACATACACACACAACTAAGAGACACATGCACTTGGTTCCCAGCAGCACGATGACCGGCACAGCCACCGCAACAGCAGGTCTGCTGTTGATGGGGCGAGCAACAATCTCAGGCAGAACTTGAAAACGTATGTTTCGCGCTTTTATCGCGAAAAAGCAGGTAACTTACTCGCCCAAGTTTTGTTCGCACTGTTTATTGTGTGCTTGTGTGTGAAAGAACTGTGGTCATTCATCGCGTCTGTTTTGGGATAACAACCCACAACAAAGTACGTTCTACATCGTTTGACAACCTGGGCTTATCATATTGTTTTTCATACGTTGCGATCCTGATGTTTCTATGCCGAAAACAAACTCAACATATTGTTCAACACAGATGAAAATTATCCTGTTGGTTGGTTTTGATGCCTTGCCTCTTCTGCGGCGTAGACGCCTTTGCTGCAGGCAGGGCACTTCGGAGCTGCGACAAGCTTTGCCATTCCGCTGGCAATCTGAGGGAAGCAGTTACTTCTATCTAAGTTAGCTTTTTATTGCCTGACAAGGTTTGTATGATGTAACGTTGCATCTACCTATGTCCGAAGTAGACCCCACCTGCACCAACAAATTTGCACCTTCGCGTCTGGAGTACGCAGCCCCTGCTATCATGTTGAGCGCAACTTATTCGCAAGAAGCGAATGAAAACTGAGCCATGCTGTGTGCATGCAAGACTTATGCATGCGGCATGTAGCTAAGAGACTGAGCCAGCGGCACGATAGCAAACATTCAGCTTTGGCGGGATCAGCTGATATCAGCGGTTGGGGGAGGCTACGCAAGGTTGTTCGCAAGGTAGTTTTTCACAAGGGTGCTCAAGACCGGTGACAATTGATGGTCCAAGTGTAGCTGCTGTTCTGCCTTTCACGCTGCACCATCTCGTGGGAAGCCACTTGCTGTAAACTCACTACCAGGCCAATACGCATACGTTTCAGTACAAACCACATTGCTGCCACATTAGTTCCACAGGCCTGCTTTACCTGATTTCAGCTGCTGATAGCAGTGTTGCTACCTCCCGAGCTTGCACAAGTCTCACAAAGTCTCGGCCTTTGAAGCGCATGGCCCGCTCCAGGTGCGACAGCTGCCCAATTGATGCCCTGACGTGTGCTCAGGCGGTCCCAGCTTGGAGCCAGCGGCAGGCTCAAGATTTGTAGATGCTAATACACGCGTGTAGGTGGTGGGTAAATCGGGATTGTATTTTGTAAGCATCATCGCTTAACAGATCAGACACTGGCAGCCAGCATGCCAAATTGTCTAGTCTAGCTTGCAATCTGCGCAGGCCTTCAAATCTAGGCCTCTCAACTGCATGTTGGAGTCTCTTCTTGCCACCCCTCGAACTTGAAACCGTGTAGAAAGAAACACCAGGCAGGGCGACCAGCACTCCAATGGGAATTTGCGGATCTCGGTGGACCGGAGCTTGATGGTGGCAAAGTGCTGGTCCTCTTGAGCATCGCATCGCGCAAAGGCAGGGGGTTGAACGTGCTCCAAATGCTCCAACCCATGCGTTCAACCTAGAAGCCTTTACCCAGTGCTGACCCTGACCCTCCTGAACCAAACCCTTAGCAAGCATCAACGTGGGAGCTGCGCTGCCTTGGAGCTTGCTCTCATGCAACTATCAGGGTGGAAATCAACTACATAGCTATGCAGGACGAGCCGTGACCAGAAAGCAGTCGGAGCCTTCGTGATGATGGTCGCAAAGGTACCGGCAGCACGGATAAGCCTTGTGATATCGCCATGAATGCTGCGTGCCAGTATTTCTGAGACCAAGCCCGTTCACTTAGCGGAGCCGTCGTCTAAAATTTCATGCTTCTCAAAAATCAATCCTGCGAGTCCTCGAGAATCAGAAGAACCAAATGCCCCGCGCGTACGTAAGCCAGCTCAAACATTGAGAAACTTTGGCGTGGATGCTTGAAACAGGTCATACTTGGCTCACTGGTCCGAATTATTGCGGACACTTAGTTCAAAGGCCTCCTCACACCTAAAAACGAATAAAGATTAACTGAAACATGATGTGATCCCCTATATACCCCCCACAAGAAGCTCAATAAAAACACATCGGAAGCACTGGAGTACTGGAACAATTCTTTTTGGGGTTACAACCAAACAACTCTGCTTCCAAGCTCAGCCTCACACTGCCCCCCAGCGCCTGCACTCAGGAAAGGTTTAGGGTTTAGGGCAGGCCCCGCCCAAGCAGCCAAAAAAAAAACACGCCCCCGACACGTCCTCTCCCTGGAAAGCTGTCAAACAGCAAAAAAATGAACACGAACAACGCTGTTTGGGCGGGATGGTGTTTTCTTGGCTGAAAATACTAGGGTTTCAAGGTTTCGCAATATGAAGGGGTACCCTTTAGGCGGTCCCTATAATAAGAATTATAGGTTGAAGGCACAGGCCAATTTCAGCAGCTGTGTATGGCTTTTGCATTGCTTTATCATGTAGTGAAGCCCATCATGGTCCGGGATCCTTACAAGAAACTTTATTTTCAGAACATATCACTTGCATAGACAAGGTCTTGCATTCCTGGTTCCTTGGCCAGCAGTGGCTTTGCCTGACAAAAAAGATTGCTTTGACTGTTGTCAGTAAAAGCCAAACAAGGAACAGTGGCGCTGGCGAACTAGCAGTACCGAAAAGCAAGCAGCAGTAGCTGTGACAATCCAGTTGGTAGTCGAGGCGCCACTGCAGTAGTGGTAGCAGCAGCAGCAGCAGCAGCAGCAGCAGCAGGAGCAGCAGTAGGAGCACCAGGAGCAGAAGCAAAACAGTGATGGCTATAGTTGCAGTAGTAGCAGTAAAAGAAAAGTATCAGCACCATCAGCATCATCGTCGTCGCTGCCGCCGCCGCCGTCGTTATTGTTGTTGGCGGCTGCTGAGCATCTGTGTTCGTGTACCAGCAGCAGCAACACCAGCAGCAGCAGCACAAGGAGTCATCTTGATTTGAATCGTAAGAATGGCAGAGCCTGGGCGCAGCTCAATGTTGTGGACGATGGAACCAGCTGGAATACTCCTGCATGCGGGCTGGAGATTGGACGTGTTGTGGCTGCGACGGCTGCGATCACTGCATAGAGAAGCTTCAGCGTGTTTACTCCAACTGGTTTTCATTATCATTGCCATGACCAATCCTTTTCTACTGAGTTTCTCTCAATCCCTTTATGCCTACCGTGATGCTCGCCGCTTCGTGCTGTTATTGCCATTGCAAATTGCACTGATTTCCGCCACGATGACTACGGGTCAAATCCGCTTAAATAATTTGCATATCAGCTCAGAGAAATCACAGAGTATGCCATCCTACATGCTCCGATCCCTTTCGGCACAGCTCTTCAAACTACAGCTACGCATAGGCCAAATCCCGCTATGATTGACCAACCTAAAGCCTAAAGCCTAACTAAACCCTGGACCTCGAACCCTAAGCCTTGAACCCTAAAGCCCTAAGCCCCAAACCCTAAGCCCCTAAACCTTACACCCACAAACCCATAAACCCCTAAAACTCAAACCCCTAAGCCTGAACCACATTAACCCATTAACCCCAACCCCCAAAACCTAAATTTTTGACTGCTGCGAACAGGCCTCAGGGGCAAACAGTTGCCAGGCACAATGTTAGCCGTCTCGCTGGCGACAACCTGTGAAGCTTCCAAGGCATGCAAGCCATGAAGGTGAAATACAGAAGTGATATAGAGGTTGAGGGTTTAGGGTTTGGGGATTCGGGCTTAGGGTTTAGGGTTGGGTATGTATAGAGCCAAAACATCAAGGCTTCAAAGGAGATACTTCTGGTAGTCCAAAAACAAGGAATCTTGGGTTCTACTGTTGGGCTCCCTGTTTATGGAAGCGCCCACATTCTTCAGAAACCGTACTGCGGGTTTATTTGTGTTTATTTGTAGCCAGCTGCTTGAGAACTCAGAATCTTGCCGGGAACGCGCAGGGTTTTGTGCGAGTCCGAGTGCCATCCATACTATATCATTGCCGAGCTTGCGTAGGACAATATTAGGGTTATATTGGGATAGTGGAAAAGAAAATCGAAACTACTACAATGGGGTTACATAGGTGGTATATAGGGTTATGGGGTATATATGGCCGGCCCCGATGCGTTGAAATTTGGAGGTCAGCTCAATCTCCAACTCGAGGAAGTTCATACTGTCTTTAAGGGCTCGTCAGAGATCTGTATAGGGGCTTATAACACTACCAATATCATGATGAGGTGTGTTAACGATACCCTCTACCATAATTATAGTATAGCACCTAGCTAGAACCATGACATTCGTAATTATGCAGGCCACTATAGCTTACTGGTTCTTAGTAGGGAATATGGGAATATAATCCCTATATAACATATTCTTTTATTC